AAGACAGGGGGGGAGGGGATGGGAGGGAGGAAGGGGTTGGGGTGTCAATGTTGTTGTTGTTGTTGTTGTTGAATATTTATGTATTTCTTTAACAGCACTGCCAGAGTTGGTTTGCTAGAGGAAGTTACATAAAGTCCACCTTGGAAAAAAAAAGAAAAGATGAAAAGGAAAAGGCAGCGACTTGTGTGCCCTTTGAGCACAGTCACATCTACGTACGGAAACAAAACCCTCTTCTTGTTGATTCTCTACAGACCGAAGACGGGAGAAAAATCTTCTATTTTACGGGAAACCCAAAGAAGAATATTAATTGGATTATGTGTGCACACACAACGTGAGTGGTTGGAGGGCGCCACTGGTCGGTCCTTCTACTTATGATTGTGGTTGTGGGTGGTTTTTTTACCCTGCCCATTTCTATCAACTATCGCTTTTGTGTTCAGTTGAAACAACAACAGCAAAAAATGTGCAGCGATGAAACCACTTTACCCGGGGGATGTCCCCGCTACTACTTATGTTCTTTCCCTCTGTTGTTTCTGTCCATCTCGCTTGCTTTTTTCCTGCGCTTAGTGACAGTTTCGCGTCGATGTGCTTTTTGTTACTTAAACAACGAAACGGCAACAATCCTATCTTCTGAAGCATCACCGAAGTAGCCTACTCCAGATTTTGCTCACAGCGGCCTTTCTACGGAAACATGTCAATCTCGGTTCTCGTAGTTGACTCGACCCCTCCCCCCCCCTCCCTCACTCACACACACACACACACACACACACAATAAGCCCATGGAAGACTCTTTGTACCCACACGTACAAGCCTCTCCATCACAAGCGGCCAATCTCAGACAATCCCGGATCTAGCGATTCCCTCTCTCTCCGCTCGGCTCATCTTGCTTGTGTGCACAGAAAGAGCCAACAGAATGAGATGATATACATACAAGCGTCTAGTAGAGTGCGATTAAATAGATCTACATACAAGCGGCCAACAGAGAGAGAGAGAGAGAGAGAGAGAGAGAGAGAGAGAGAGAGAGACCGACTGACAGACAGACAGACAGACAGACA